GTTTAGGATGTTGTTGTTGTTGAAGATGTTGATGTTTAAGATGTTGTTGTTTTAAATGTTGGGTTAGTCTCTGCGTTGGTCGAAGTTAGGATTTTAAAAGAATAGAATAATATAAATGATAATGATTAAGATAATTACAACAATGATGATGATAATGATGAAATGGTGATGATAATGATGATGATAATGATGATTGGAATGCTGATAATGATGACGATGACGCTGACAACGATGAACAAAATAATAAGGGTGATGACGGTATAATCATTACCATAACGATGAAGATAAAACAAAGACAGTTATTTTAATTTCTTTTTCAGGCATTTAAAATTTTAAAGAGAACGATTTTTAAATTTGATATACCGCTTGAAACTATTGCGCTAATTGCTTTCACACATGTATGTATATATGTATGTATGTATGTATGTATGTATGTATGTGTGTGTGTGTGTGTGTGTGTGTGTGTGTGTGTATGTCTGACTGTATGTATGTATGTATGTATGTATGTATGTATGTATGTATGTATGTATGTATGTATGTATGTATGTATGTATGTATGTATGTATGTATGTATGTATGTATGTATGTATGTATGTATGTATGTATGTATGTATGTATGTATGTATGTATGTATGTATGTATGTATGTATGTATGTATGTATATATTATTATTATTATTATTAATAAAAAATTTATAAAGCGCTAATTCAAAGGATCTCAAAAGCGCTATCAAAAAAATATCATGGCATAATCAACATAAATAAAGAGTTATCAGTGCATTTTAACAAAAAAAAATTTTAAGAAAAAAAAACACAGTCTTCATTATTTCCTTAATCTAACATCGCACAATAAACTATATAAATCACTCAGTTATAACTAAAACAAGTCAGTTCAATGAATTACAACGAAAATAAGTAAGTTTTCAGTTTTCTTTTAAAATCAGGCAGGTTCAACTCCGGATCTCTTAGAAAGGCAGGCAAATTGTTCCAAACAGACGGTCCCAAGACGGCGATGTTACGAGACCCCATATGAAGACACGAAACTGGGACTAGCAGCAGGTTCAGATCATGAGACCTCAGATGCGTTCCAGAAGGAGGTGCCAACTTCTTTGCAAACATTTCCGACAAATAAGGTGGTGCAAGACGATTTATTGATGTATGTATGTATGTATGTATGTATGTGTGTGTGTGTGTGTGTGTATGTATGTATGTGTGTGTGTGTATGTATGTATGTATGTATGTATGTGTGCGTGTGTATGTATGTATGTATGTGTGTGTATGTATGTATTTATGTATGTATGTATGTATTTTTCAACATGGCAAGGTCGCTTGTAAACAATGAAGTTTTATATTTTCTTGAAAATAATTGGAGTTTAAGTGAAAATGACTCGTTTGTAAATAATATTGTTGAATTTTACAGTTTTGAGGATATTGATAATGCTATTAAAGCTCTGAAAAACGAATTAGTTAATTTGAAAATAGAAAAAATTGAAAAGTTTCAGTCTCGCGGGAATAGGAAAATAGAGAAATTGTTTGAATGGATTTTCATAATGAAATATTTAAAGGAGAATAAATATTGGGAAAAGTGTTCTATATTTGTGAGTTCTAACTTAAATAAAGTTCCAAAGGTCGAAAGTTTGTTAACGATAAACTTTCAAATAATTAAACGTGAACTAATTGAAATGTTGCACAGTCAACAGATGCAGTTTAATAAACTTGTCGAAGCTGTTTCAATAATAAAAAACATTGTTGTTGAAATAAATAAATTTATAGAATCTACTGAAAATAACAACATTAATACCGTTAAGTTTGAAAAACTTGTTGATACTGTTGAAAATAAATTAGACGTTAATAATGCTGAAATTAATAAAAATTTAGAAATTAATACCACTGAAGAACTAGTCAATAAACCACTATGGTCGGATGCATATGACAGTCCAATTGGCGATGATGTTTAGCCATTCTTGCTTGTTAATAACGAAAGAAATCTCAACAGCTCAGCAACAACACAAAAGCAGACAACAAACCAAAAGTATCAACAAACAAGGTAGCTGACTCTAAGACAGTTGAGAAAAAACCAGTTAGAATTATTGGACAAAAAATTCTAGATAACGGTAAATTAAAGGCAGACAAAGAGTTAATTAAAAAATCTGTTTTCTGTCTAAGCAACATTAGCAAATGCCACAGAAATGATGTCGAAGAATATCTGACTACTAACGGAATTAGACTTTTATCATGCTATCCAGTCGTTAAACAGTTTAAGAAAAAATCGACACCATCTGAAAATAGTTTTGATAACAACACAGTCAACTATTCTGATGATAAAACTAAAGATGATATAGAGTCCTCTATGTTCAGAGTTTGCATTGATAGAAATGACGTTAAAAAAATAAAGGACCCAGCGATATTGCCGCAACACATTATAATGCGCGAGTGGCAATTTAATAAAAAAGCTGAAGTTACTGTTGAAAAAACAAAGAAAGATGGATAAGCTAAATATCCTAGATGATGATGATGATGATGATGATGAAGATGAAAATGAAACTGATAACTACAATGAAATTCAAAATAAATTTAAATTAATGTGTAATTTTCATTCATGTATAAACAATTTTAAATCAACGTATGCAAATTATAGTAAAAATAATAAAATTAACAGTGGTATAAATTGTCAGAACTAGAAGATTTTATTGATCAATTGGATGTTTTTTTTTGATGTTATTGCTATATCAGAAACTTGACTGCGTAGTGAAAACCATAATTTAGTAAACTTAAGAGAATATAATTTTTTTGCAAAAATCGATAACATAAATTGGGAGGGGGTGTTGGCTGCTATGTGTCAGATAGGTTAAACTGCAAGGTTCGTGATGAAATCAATAAAATCCTTCCGCTTGATTTTGAAACATTGGTCTTAGAAATTTGTCACCAAAAACCTGAAAAAAATAAAATAATAATTATAACGTATCGATCTCCATCTTACAATTTAGATAAATATTTTTGCCACTTAGAAGAAGCAATAACTTTTATAAGTTCAGAAAATTAATCGCTATTCATCACTGGTGATTTCAATATTGATTGCTTTTATTCAGTTGGCTCTAGTGACAAAACAAAACTACAACAGTTAATGATTTCATATGGTCTGGTGCAAACCATTCACGTACCAACTAGAATCTTCGTCATCAAACAGTCACATCGACAAAATGTTTTTAAAAACAAATCATATCAGTTTTCTCTGTGGAACAATTGCTTGTGATTTGTCTGATCATTTACCAGTTTTTTGTGTGCATACGTGAGTCGGATTGTGCTAAGCATTCAACAAAAACCAATAACGAATGTTATTCGATCAACAAGTTTTCTTTCTCAGCACATCGTATAAGAAAATTAAATGAACATCTACTGTCATCTGATTGGAGCCAAGTTTTTCGGTGTGTAAATGTTGATATGGCTTTTGAAAGATTTATCAAAATTTTTCAGTCCTGCTCCTATGATGCGTGTTAAATACAATCACTGAAGAAAAAAAACTTTTGATGAAACAAAAACCATGGATATCAAAAGATATTAAAAAAATGATCAACAAAAAAAAATATTTATACAAAATGTTTCTGAAAAATCCTTATTCAGGAAAAATATGAAAAATTCAAAAGCTTCCGTCTATTTTGTACAAAATTGATAACGAAATCAAAACGTCAATATTATTTTCAACAAATTGAGCAAAATAAAAAAGATATTAGAAAAATATGGTCAATTATAAAAGAAGTTTCAAATATTTCTAGTAGACACGGTTCTAATATTCAATTAACTTCAAACGACCAATTAATAGAAGATCCAGAAAATTTTCTAAATGAACATTTCGTAAACATAGCACCAAATTTGATGAAATCCTTTAACGTTGATAATAATTGGGAATTATATCCTCGCAACAGGGTTTCGAATTTATTTTTTTGTGTTTATGTATCGGCAGATGAAATTATATCTACGACTAAATTGTTGATTCCAAAATCTTCCAGTGGCTGGGATGACATTCCAACAAAAGTCATTATAGAAACAATCAACTCAACAGCAACTATTCTTGAACACATCATCAATTTTTCCATTATGGAAGGTGTTTCCCCAATGCTTAAAAATTTCAAAAATTATACCAATAGAAAAAGAAACTGGAAACAATGATGCATCAAATTTTCGACCCATCTCACTCTTGTCAACTTTCTCTAAAATAATAGAAAAAATAATGTATAAAAGAATCACATTTTATTTACAAAAAAATAACATTCTTTCCAGTCATCAGTTTGGTTTTCGTGAAAAATACTCGACAGAACTGGCTATTATAGAACTAATAAGAAAAATCGGAATACTCACGGAAAAAAAACATTTTGTTGTTGGAACTTGTCTTGATCTTTCCAAAGCTTTCGATTGCATTGATCACGCAATTTTATTAGGCAAGTTGGAACACTATGGCATGAGGGGTGTGCTTTTGAAATGGTTTCAAAGCTACTTGTCAGAAAGGAAACAGTTTGTTTGCTGGAAAAACAAGTATTCGTTATTACGGCCAAATGGAGTTGGTGTCCCTCAAGGAAGTATTTTGGGACCACTTTTATTTATTTTGTTTATCAACGACCTTCCAAATGCAACAGACTATTTCGACTATGTTTGTTTCGCTGATGATACTAACATTTTTAGTAGCGGAAAAAACATCAACGAAACAATTGAAAAAACGAACGATAACGTAAAACACGTTGTTTCTTGGTTCAACAGCAACAGGTTAACAATTAACAACTCAAAAACTCAAATGATTCTATTCGGACCAATACAATATTTAAATTATAAAGAGCCGTTTAAAATCGAAATTAATAATCTTGAAATTACTGAAAGTCAAACAGTAAAATTTCTGGGTGTATTTCTAGATCAGAAATTGAGTTTCAAGTCCCATGTTGATTACATATCCAACAAATTGGCAAGGTCAATTGGAATAATCAGCGGGGTCAGATTTTTCCTTCCAAAACGATGTTTAAACGTGCTCTACAATGCCATATGTTTGCCTAACGTGACGTACTGCAATGTAGTTTGGGCCAGTGCATACCAATCAACCACCCATCCTATCATGATACTGATGAAAAGTGCAATCAGGATCATCACGTTGTCAAGAAAACAAGCCTATGTTTTCTAGGTTAGCCTAGGTTATCCCCACAAGTATGTATGTATATATGTATGTATGTATGTATGTATGTATGTATGTATGTATGTATGTATGTGTGTATCAAAGTATGTGTGTATGTATGTATGTATGTATGTATGGATGCATGCATGCATGCATGCATGTATGTATGTATGTATGTATGTATGTATGTATGTATGTATGTATGTATGTATGTATGTATGTATGTATGTATGTATGTATGTATGTATGTATGTATGTATGTATGTATGTATGTGTGTATGTATGTATGTAATGTAACACATGGTTTTTTTGGTATTTTGGCATTTCTGTATTATATTTGATTAGGTGGAGAGATGGTTTAATGGTTAAAGTACCTGGCACTGTGCTGTTGCAGTGACCTGGTTCGAACGCAGAAAGTTTACATGCAATGTGTCATATGTGTGAATTTACATAACAAAGATAACGCTTTATTAATTTAATGAGAAAACTTATTAACAATACCAATAGTATTAATAATAATATTTGTTATTGTTATTATAAAGTTTTATCTACGGTAATTAATTATTTGAATGTTTTCTTCATATTCATTCGCTTATATTTTAATTTATTAAAATTCATTCATTTGATCAATTATTCATTAATTCATACATGCATTCATTGTTTTTTGTTCGTTCATTAATTCATTTGTTCTTTCATTCATTCCTTAATTAATTCATTTGTAATTTCGCTTTCTTTTTCTTTTATTCGTTCCATCAATCAATCATTTGCGTTTTTACCCTTTTATTCATTCAAACAAAAGTTAAATCATTCATCATTTTGCAGTGTCAACCACACACACACACACGCACACACACACACACACACCCATATACACACAAGGATATACACTCACACTCACATACACACACGTATACACACACTCACTCACACACTCGAACGCACGCACACACTCACACAAAATAATGTGTTTTTTCAAACCGACTATAAAATGTATAAAATTATGATTGAAAGGCAAGAATTTTTTCTTTAATTTTGTCCAAACCTTATCTTAGCCTATCAATTTATGACTAAGAAAAAAAAATTTGTTGAAGTACTTTAAAATATTTTTAGCAATTTTTCCAAATAAAAATTAACCAAAAACAGCGTCAAATATTCAAAAAGCTTTCCCCATCCAATAAAAATTCTTAGATCAACAAATGTGTGTGTGTGTGTGTGTGTGCATAAGTGTATCTGTGAGTATGTGTGGCTCTTTCTGTGTGTGTGCGTGTATGTGCATTTGTGTAAACATTCTTATGTCTTTTTACGTGATATTTAAAACAAATATTTGTATTGAAAATCATTCGCTAACGTTGGCCTACTTTAGCATGATCTTTCATTTGCAATTTTTCTCCAAAGTAGTATTTCAAAAGTATTAAAGAATCTTTCGTTAAATTCAACACACTGCATCATCTATGACGATTACTGTCAGCCATTGCTGATAAATTTACCGGTTAATAATTTATTTTTCAAACATTTTTACCAAGATAATGTGTGGCACCGGCATGATAGCAGCGGCCAACAAAATTACGATCAGAAAATATTTCAGCAGAAACAAAATAAAATAGAAAAATTTTTTCAGTGAAAATGGTAACAAATGCGCCAAGGATGGGTTTTAAGTACGTTCTCATTTAGAGCTTAACAACCAAATTACTTTTTCTTGTTGTATGCTGTAGTTTTTTTTTGTAAATTATTTTATTGAATTTTTTTGTCTTGATGTTTTTGTATAGTTTTAAGAGTGTTGTTAGCTTTGTGTTGCTGTAATCGGTTCGAATTCAAACATAATCCTGCCTAGTTACTTAAAATAGCTTTGTCGAGCAGATTCGAGTGCACGTCAGGTAGTCTATGTTGGTGCTTCCATCCAAGTGAAGCATCAAATGAAAAAAATATTGACGCTGCGATGCATATGGTATACAATGCTCATCTATAAAACTTACCCTACATTGAATATAAGTAAAATCAAATGTGT